AGAAGAAGTCTGAAGCCTTTCAATCAAATCAAGCGCTAGCGTTTAGTTCTAAGTCATTCAATCTCCAAATTAACGTTAGTCGAATTCAAATTCAAGCTTGAAGGAGATCCAAACAGCAAATCCATCTTCAAAGATCCAAATCCAAGTCCAGGATGAGAAGAACAGAATGAGAAGAATAAAAGAAATATACATAAACATAGATTGTATCCGCAACATCATTTGATCAAAATAAGCAATTCTTTTGTGTTTTTGCATAAAATTTGTTGTCATGATGGACTTTCACTAATATTTCTCAACTACTCCAATTTTCTCCAACAGAACTGTTAATCACTTTGTGCCTTTTCGTAAACGGACCATCTCCGACAACCAAGAATGGCGATATAATGAACCGGGAGTCACATATTTTTATCTTTCCCTTCCATTCTTTCGTCTTTTTTCCTTTATTTTTTGGCTCCGAGCAACCTTTCTAACTATGACATCATCAGCAATAGTGTCGGTGGGATGTTGTCGATAGTGCTGATTTCCAATTATTACTTTAGCATTTTTTGTTTCTTTTTCCAACACCATGCACATTAAAACTATTTTGTAAATGTGTTGCTTCTGATAGTTTTGAAGTCACATTAAAACTAATTTTGTAAATGTGTTGCTTCTGACGGGTATTTGAACTGGGGATAATTGTCATTTTTGGGACTAATTGAGACATTAAACTGTGAGTACTTTTTCTTTGCATTTGTTGAATGTGTATTTTTTCATACTGGCTCACCTTTGCTTTAACAAGGTGAGCATCCTTGGCAAATGGATTGTTGCCTAGTCTCACTGCCTTTTTTAATCACTGGATATAAATTCATGACTCTGTTTGTACATCTAGAGTTCAGCAGACCAACACTAAAAACTGCAGTACTAAATTTAAAGATTCTTAAGTTCCGCATGACCTTTTAACTACATTACAAGTAAATCTAACAGAATTGTAAGTAACAACTACTAGTTCCAATCACTATATGCCTCTATGATCCAAAAATCTCAACCTAAAAGAAAGGAGTACAGAATTGTAAGTAACAGCTACTAGTTCCAATCACTATATGCCTCGATGATCCAATAATCTCAACCTAAAAGAAAGGAGTACAGTATGCACAGGATTTTGCACAATTATTTCTTTACCTGAATCATTAGTAACCATTAACTATAATTGAAGACTCAAATGAGTTCCACTCAATAATAAATCACCTCGATATTATAAATGCCGACTTTCCCATCAAATGAAGATGCTGATATGATTCCAGGAATCTTAGTATACCAGTGAACATCAAAATTCCAGTTGGTTCCAGCAGGCAATTCGGCCACAATCTACAAAAATAACTTAGGTATCACTCCCCCGTGTGGAAAAATTGACTTGAAGAAAAAGGAGAATAGAAGAAAATTGGAAAAGGATATATGCATCTATAAAGTAAATGAGAACACGTCGGCATTAATAGTAATACGAGCAATCAATATCTCACCTCTCCAGATACAGTGTCCCAGCAAATTGTACGGTTATCTTTAGCACAGGTAAGCAGATAAGAGCTCTCAATGGGGCACCATGACATAGCAATGACACCTGATGCACAAGACAGCATTCAATGAAGTTCCAATGTGTAAATAAATTTATTATAGGTAAGGCACGGTCAAAATACAACAGAGAATAATAATAATCACATAAATATAATTAATTAAAACAACTTAAATGGACAAGGGTGAAAATTGCTGATGACTAAAAAGAAGATAGTCCCATTAGTGTCACATGTATCAGGTTAAAAAAACTAAAAGATAAGCACAGAGGAAAATTGGCAGGAAGAGCAGTTGTAGAATATTTGAAACCTGTGTCTGGTTCTAACAGAAATCCTCACTTATTAACTAACTTCCTAAGTAAAAGAGCCCGTTACAAAATGAAAATTTGTAATATATGAGATAACATTTAGTTATATTAACCTCTACCAAGAACATAACCATCACATGGTGTTCAAACAGCTCACAAAAATTTCTACTCTCTGATTGCATTACACGTGTTAAATCCATTCATCATAGATTAGAAAACATCAAAAGTTTCAAAAAGCATGCAAACAATCTTTTTAATTGGTGATTAAACTCCAGCCCTACCATACAACATATACTTTCAAACCCATATAGAAATCCCAGTGGCTCACCTATGCTCAAGTTTCCCGCCAAAGGTAATTTTGAATCTAGCTATCAGTTGTTTAGCCAGTGCAATTAAAAAAAATGCAATTTGCATATATTGACCAGAACAAAATCGTAATGAACAATATACAGTTCCTGTAGGCAAATTAAACCTAGATCTTTCAATTCCACATGCTATTCAATGTTTTCATTGCAAAAGTTATCACACCCATTGAGCAAATGGGGCTTAGTTGGGCTAACCAGATCTCATCTAGCATACTTCTGTTTCAAAAACTTTTGCATTGTATTCTCTACTGCAATCATTATTGACGTGGAAACACAAAGTTTCGGCGTTCCCCGTGTCCAATCTTTTGCTTCAAGGCTTTGAAATTAAATGATTCAGTTAATCTAGAAATAAACTGGAACTTGGCAGACATTTTCTATATTAAAAAATAAATTCAGTACATGAGAATAATGAGAGAACATCAGACAATAGTCATCACCAATTGAGAGAGATCATAATATATACTCGAGAATCTGTGAGCTGCACCTTAAATGATTTATTATTTCCAACGAACAATTGATATATTACTATACATATCCCCTTTGAAAATTTAGAAGATAAAATCAACTAGAAAAATGCAAACAATGATAGAGACTGTTAACTTGTGAAGATTTATAAATGAACTCCTGAAATAGAATATACCTTTGGTGTGCCCAACGAATTCTTTTACTGGAGCCATTATATTGCGCATATCCCACAGCTGAAGATGAGCACATGCAAATTACAATAATCATAAATTAATCATCTTTGCGAGAGGGGGAAAAAAACTAACGGCACATGTATTATACCTGGAGAGATGGTGCACTGTCTTCATCTGAAGCAACAATTAGCTGAGTGGCAACATCAGGGTGCCACTGCAAAACAGAGCACCTCCTCCTAATTGAATCAGAGAAACTGCAAGAAATGCATGTTTGGGATCAGAAAGGGACAGAGCCAAATGTCAACAACTAGTGGTGCAAAGTGCACGCGAAAAAATATCAGATAATGGAAGTCAAAGTTTACCTTATAACTGGCTTTTGCTTCTTCAGATCCCACACCACTGCAATTACAGAAATGTCGATATTATTCCAATGCAAATGTAAATATAAGTACACAAAATCCCATTAACTGGCATCCTTCTCACCAGTTGTCCCGTTAAATGATGTGGAGGCCAATATGTGCTGAACCTTGCTATTCCAGGACAAAAACGAAATTTCACCTTGGGTTGCAGATCCACTGCCCTGAAGAAGAGTTCCAAAAGTTTAAGTTTCCCTCCTAGTTCTAGATGACAATCAAAGGACAAGCATATGGAAAGACTGAAGACCATCAGTCTAAATCTCAGGTGAGAGATAAACCAACAATAAACAGGTAGGAAAACTAATCCAAGCGTAGTCAAAAAGCAAGCACACGGCATTTTGTGACTACACATGATGATGATTATATAAATAGAGCAAGCAATTCAATGCACAGCACTTTGCCAGGCTCAACAAGAATGGTGAAAAAGAATTTGAGAGAGATTTACGCCATTAAAGATGAGAATAATCAATGTTCCAAATGCTAAACAATATTTTCCTGGAAACAAATTGCTATATGAATCTATGTATACCTTCAGTGGCGGAAAATGACTTGGTTCTGATGGTTTTGATACATCCCATATACAAATATCACCTTCATCAGCACCAGAAGCCAGAAGGTTTGGGGAAAGAGAATTGAACTCCAAGCCCCGAACCTGAAGCAGCGTCAGAGTAAAACCCATTTCATGCTCGCCATTTAATTAGAAACAACTATAATGTAAAGGCAGAATAATAGCATATAAAATACAAATTCACGGTCAGATGCTTACAGGTCCCTTGTGTCGTGATAGGTTCGCAACAAAAGCATTCTCACTTGTATCAGAACCCCTCTTACTGGGGTCAGAACTGAAGCATAAATCCCATTATCAAACTATAGCTAACTAGATGAAACTAGGTCAGATAAAAATAAAGATTAATGGTTGTCAATAATGTATAATATCATAATGAAGCAGGCAAAAACAAAACCCAAGTTCATGAATACACACTACACTCTACAGAATCCCAAAAAACAGGGAATGAGAAGCAAACCCAACAATGTTTTATGGGCACGTTTGTTTATTAGAAGATTGGTGCTAAATTAGAGGATTGAACCTTGGTTAGAAGTTTGACCAATCAAATTGGCTTGTTTGGTAACAAACTTATTTGATTCGCTTTTTTTACCCAAAATGTTGATCCGAAACAGCTCATAAGAGCAGCGTTTTGGGAAGAGATGATTCATGAAAAGGAAATACGACATAACAGCTACAAAATTTCTGATATTTACCAAAATACGTAAAATCAAGACCACCATTGCTGTAGTTTACACTCAGCTGAAAGTTATGGCTTTGGTGTTCTCTAGTATTTAGTATGGCCACGCTGCTAGAAAAGACCCAAGTTTTCTATTTTCTTATGATTCGGATTTCTTTGGTCACACGGAAAATACATGGGATGGAAAAAAAGCCAAAAAGGCAATCAGAATCCTGCTCAATAACATTTGATACAGCACCATTTTAATTTGACTACCAATATTCATCACCAGAAAATAACACCAACAGTAGAATCCCCAAATATGCCATCAACACTCAAAAACGTGAATCATACAATCACCCACTAGATGTTTGCAATTAGCGACAAAAGAAACTCAAAAAGTAACACAAGTAACTAAGAAATTCAC